CGGTTTTGTCTAGTTAAAACTTGAATTTACTGCTAGTCAAAAATGAATTTGAGTTAAAACTAGTTTTAACTAGACAAAACGGGTTTTAACAAAGACATTCAGTATAAACTAGTTTCAACTAGTTAAAACGCGTTCTAACTAAAAACGGGTTTTGACTGTAACATATATACTACATGAAATTTTCTAATGTTGTCAGTGATATGATAAAAATTAAATAAATTTGAAAAAAGAATAAAAAGAAAGAAATTAATATATGATCCAAACTTTATCACTACTTTATATTTTTATAATTCAAAATGTATCAGAACTTTACATTAAGTTACTTAACGAGTGGAATGCAGAATTTCAAAAGATCGTCTTATTAGTCCTGGTCTCTCATTGAAATACAATTACTGGAAGTTTCTGAATTTTTAAAAACTGTAATCAATATATATGTTCAGACGACCTCACCCTACATTAACGCTAACTGTTTCAGTAGAGATATTAAAGGTGTTGTGTGTATGAAATGCCAATATCAGAAACTGTAAATCGTCAATGGCAAAATATAAAAGATTTGTGTTAAATGTTTAATTACAACGTTTTAAATTATGATTTAAGCATGATAATAAATTTACTGTAAAATTGTTAAACCCCCATTATTAAAAAATCTATTTAATTTTGCACTCTCATAAAATAAAATATTATAAACACACAATTATGATATTAGTCACTCAAACAAATAGATATTGTAAAAATTTTCCAAAGAAAGAATTACATCTGAAATTTTAACAATACCTGTAACTACAGTAAGACCTAATTTAACGCTTTGTCGATTTGCTGATTCGATATAACGCCGTCTGCTCGAAGTCTAAAATAAGCTCTCAATTTACACTGATTCGAACTATCGCTGCATTTCATTGATTCGTATATAAAACGATTATTTCCAAACACGAACCATTTATCAAAAGGTGGCAATTCGTTGTATAACTGCACTGTTTTTAAATTTTTGTTTGTTTGGTGCAATTTTCGAAAAAATATAACGTCATAAATATCATATGCCAGCGAATCCCATATTGTGCGCCGCTGCTTCCTCACAGGGGTGCCGTTAAAAATTATTTTAAAATGTTCATAATTTTACTTTCACTTTTAATTCAATGTGATAAGATGCGACTTCTAGCAGACCTGGTGCAAATGCATTGATATCTGTACTGATGATGCTCTGTAATTTAAAAAATATTGGCTATTTTGTAAATTTTAGTTGTTAGAATTTGCCACAGGGCACCTTGAGAAAATGTGGATTTAGCAAAGGCTCGATAATCAACGAAGTTTGGAAACTTCTGCCACAGGGGATATCGACATCGCTTGGGAAAAATTAACTGATAAATGCATGAACGAAGTATGGAAGAAGTTATGGATGAAGGTATTCAAGAATTCTCAACGAAAATAGTCTATCGCTGTATCGTTAAGTTGAGAAAATTATCGTCCTAATTGATACAGCAGGACGAGCCTTACCAAGGACAACTGTTAAGAACTGGCACAACAAAGAATTTATGTAAAACTGGTGGTTCTGAAAATGAAGAACCCGAAGAATTTCTCTACATATTTTCTTAGTAAACGTTTGATAACGATAACCGAACCCGTTAATCAAATTGTAGCAAATGATCCTAAATTTGAAAGGGGTGCAAAAACAAAACAATGCGTTTTGGATGAAATCTCTTGTTACTGATATTTGCTTAAGAAAAGAAAAAAAGTGACAAATGAAACTACACGATTTTATCGCAAAAATCAACAATTTGAGAAAAGTCAAGACGTTCATCACAAAATGTGAACTTTAAATTTCTGTGTGCAAAATGTGAAATTTAAATTTAAATTACTTCTTTATGTGTTTTTAACGAAAATTATTTTACAGATTAATATAAAATTAACATAAAATTAGAATCTGTTTATTTTTTCTGCGTGTTTTTCTTTCTCTATTTACTCGGTATTAAAATGATCTTGTTTAACGCTGTTTCGTTTAGTTCTGTGTCATTTAAAAATGTATACCTGATGCAAAGCTGGTTGTTACTGTACATATAACTTTCTCTGTAAATAAATTAACGTTGTTTATTTAAATCAAGGATAATTCACTTTTTCATGTATAGTCGCGAAAAATCTGTAATTATTAATTTACCCTAACGTATATTTTGAAATCGACTTGAAGTAAGTGAACAGAATACAAATGATCCTTTATTCAATTGTTCTGTAGAATTTTTCATATTTTAAAATTTGTTATTGTAATGTAACTGGTCTATTTATTTAAGTCATAGACTGGCTGTTGTCAATTATATTAATAAAACACTGGATTTAATGATGACTAAAAAAGTTCTGACATAAGTAAGTCTGTCTTCATAATTACAGAACTAATACATTATTGTTTCACTCTAATTTTAAGAAATTTTTTAACTTATGAGATTAAGTAATTGTTTATAGTGTTTTTCAATCTAACTCGGCATCATAAAATAGTATTTTTAATGACTCTCTTCATCTCTGTTTACAGAATATTGTCGCTATTACTCAGCACGCAAGTAAGTTAAATACAAGACACTCTTCTATATTCGAAATACTTACATTTTCCTTCCAGATGTTTTATGCTTTTTAACACTCGGCTGAAAATTGTCCACAAAGCGTAAAATATTATTGAAAGGACAGCAATTAATACAAGTAAATAAGGACAGACGATTGCTTGAAGAACACACATGCCAACTAGAATCGAGCCTCCCTAGAATTAGAAAAATATAAATTGCTAATAAATAGTTCGAGAATTAAAACTTAAGTTTTCTATGTAAAGTATAAAAAAAAATTTTACAAGTATTTAAAAGAGTCATCTCTCTGTTGAAAAATTTAAGAGTCATCTCTTTGTTCAAAAGTGTATACTGGTGTGTCACAAATCTGGAACAATTGGTATTATGTAAAACTGTTGTTTTTAGATGTGACACGGCAATTAAAAAGCAAAAACAATTTTAATTATTTTCGCGTTAAAAACCTGCTATCGCTGAAAAGTTGCAAACTTTTTCGTTTACATTTTTTTGAGGATGAAATATAAGTTTTTCGGGACATTTACTGTTTTTTAACAATAAATAATAAAAAAGAGAGTTAGCTGCATCCAGATCAAGGTGTGCCACTAGTTGTAATGTCTAGATGCAATGCGTTAAAAACTTTAAAAATATCTTACTGTTTTTCGAATTTCCGGAATAAAAAGTATGATACAATTTAAGAACTAAAATATTGATTTTTACATCTTTGATATATATAACAAAAGCACGATATAGAAATTTTTCAACAAACGAATCTTAAGACGTTTAGATTTTTAGTTCAGGGAATATGAAAATGCCAAAAAATGCAAAAAAATTCGGGAGTTGTTTCTGTATGTATTGATGTGTGTGCATGACAGTATTTTGTTCATTCTGCTTAAAGCTTAATAACTCCTCTGCGTTTTTCATATATTTTTGAAATTTGCAAGGTGGTTTGTGTATTGAAAAAATGATGCTGCTAATCGCTAAAGTTTGGTTGAGATGGCAGATAAAGGGAGATCGTGTTTCCTACGTCCAGTAGGCTTGCAATTTAATGAAGTGTTTACTCGTTATTAGAATTTAAAACTTTATATAAATGTAATACCTATTTAAAAAATTAAAATTTTTGCTATATCATAACTTTAAAAAATAGGAAAAGTTTTTAAACGACATATTATATCAGAAGGCAAAGGATGCAAGTATAGTTGTTGCCGGAAAAGTTAAGTACCCGTTATTGTATTTTTAGTAATCTCCATACCACGTCTAAAAAATAAACTGACAGCAACATAAATCTTATGGTTCTAAACTTATGGTAGATTTAATATTATACTTCTTATATTAAATACAGTATTTTAGTCAGTGTTTCATAAAAATTGTTTAAGTAAAAACACGATAAATATTGCATTTACTTCAAAATATATTCCTAGAATCATACAAATCTATTTTAAAAAATAAATTATCATTATGAGTGCAACAAAGGGTTTCTAACTACTAATAGAATGCATATTATCTATGTTTAAAAAAGTGCCAGTTAGTGTAGTGTTGAGACAATGCGAATATGAAGAATGTTGATATAGAATGCACTTGAGTATTTTATTGTTTATTTTTACCATCAGCTGTACACAGAAGTTTTACTGAACTGAGATTGCACTGTTTACTTTATAATTAGAGAAAATGAGATCAAAACATTTTACGACAGTTCAATGTACAAGAAGTTAAGTTTTTAGTAACTTACCGAACTACTGTATCATAATGTAATAATTGTAATATTTTTATTGTGAAAAAATTTTAAATTACTGATACAAAAACATTTAACCACGTTACTTAGCATGCGTTTACTGTATTAGTATTTTTATATTATGATGATAAAAAACATTTTAATTTCGAAAATTCCGATGGGCAAATAAGTCTCTTTTCTCCTTTATCTGCCCTACAGACAGTTCAGAGACTATATATCTAAGTTATTCCAAAAAATTCCTGGGATTTTTCCTTCTCCGGACTCGCTCTTTAGTCGTGCAGATGCAGGTTGACACATTATAATCATTTGTTCCCCAGCTGTAATTTAAACATTCAACGAAAAATGTACGATTAAACTATTTTCATAATCTGCTGCCGTATTTAAGAGGGATGGTTCGACTTACAAAAGTTATACTATACGTTCTCTGACTACATATTCCATGTAGCACCGATCAGGTGAGACACAGCTGCTCTGTAGATGTTCTGTTCTTATACATAAGTGACAATTATCACTGTGTTGGATTGGTAGTACCTGTGCAGTGATAGCTGCAGCAAGTTTTTTATAACGAAAATATAGTCCAAGGTAAAGCGCGACCGATCATTCGAGTTTGGCATGCAAATAAAGAAGTCTTTACCGAATTTCATCAAAATGCACGAAGAAACAGATTGACGAAAACAGTCAAACTGTCTACAACAATGGAAGTGCATATACCTCAAACATTCGCAGAGTTTATAATGAAAGTAGCTTATAGGCATGTTATATTTGTTGTATTTGATGTTTCTGAAAGAAAACAGCGTGTCTGAAACTCACAAACATACCTTTGTATGTGGCCATCACTTTTCGTGTTCACTACTTTTAATAATTTTATTTTACATAAATTTTAATATACAGAATTGAAGAGCGAAAGGCGATCCACTTAATTTTCCATTGCGATAGATACATGAACATTAAAATTAGTTAAATGAGAGCGAAAATTATACAAGAATACTTATAGCCATGCATACCACAGAAATTCGTATAATATTATAATATACCATTACTTATTATCATTCATTTCCCACAGCAATGCTCTTGTGGATGCTTTTCCCAACGGCAAACAACAAATATGTTTCTTTGCTCGCATTTATTGTTCCAGTTGTTGTTAATTGAACAGCTAGTCATTTTGTGTTGTGTCTTTTGTTTCTTTAGTAATCAGTTAATGTTTTGTCTATCATACATTGTTTTTCATGTTGCCTATATTCTACTTATATGCAACAATATTAAACATTTTTTAAATTAAAAAAATTTGGCAACTTTCTCATAAGTCATTTGTCACTGTTGTCTGGTTGTTCCTTCTTAGTATTCTTGTTTAGTATACAGTAAAGTTTAAGTTAGTTCAACAAGTTGTAAGCTAGAATTAAGAGAGCTATAATTTAAGTAACTTAAATTTTACTGTATTCATTCTTTCTCCATGATGTTTCAATTAAATTATTTTGCTTCATAAAGAGCTTGCTAGATTATCATCTCTATTATTTTAGTAATAGTTTGAAGCCTTTACTTTAGATTTAAACATTAACCTTTAGTCTGTGTAACTTTTATGTAGCTGCACTACTTATTTACGATGTATGCTACAATTCAACATTTTGAGATTCATAGGCTCGCACACCAACGATAATTGTAGTAGGAATCACCTTATGTACACCGCTCAGAGGGTTTCTTTCTTTTTTTTCTATTTCCTTGCCTTTCCCCCCTCTCCTTTCTTTCCTTCTTTTCTTACGCCGACTAAACACTATTATACTACGTGTGCTTCGTTAACATAAAGTATTTAAAATGAACTTACCCTTACTAGAAAATAAGTAAAGAAAGGAATCAAATCATCCATGCTACCAACATCTTTGGAAAATCGATTTAAGATTTTTCCTGAAAAACATAAAAATGAAAAATATTAATTGAATTGAATAATTATGGAAAACAAATTTCGATATAATTATAATTTATAGGGATATCCTACTTATATTTACAAATAACGCTTTTCTGGAATTCTTACAACTAAATTATTGTACATGGTACATTTTTATCCAAACAATATTTTAAGGAATGGAAAATATGGTTTTCATAGTATGAAGCTACTTGATTTTTCTAAATTAATAACTATACCGTATTTTCTTTTAATTATCGGTAAGCATTGTGCAATGTCAGGTGTTTGTTATCCAAACAGTTTGGTTAACGAACACCTCACAGAACAAACATAAAAAATACAGGCTAAAAATTGAAAGAGGGGGCCTTCTGGTATCACTCGTAGGTATAACCAAGAAGGTAGGAAAGAACAGAAGGTAGGAGAAGACTTCCGAAGAGTAGGGAATGAAATTGGGGCAGGAAAAGGTGGGAGCTTATGGCGCCTGCAACGCATTTATTTAGAAATAAAAAAATACAAAATAGATACATTAAACAGTGTAACGGTAAAAAAACACAATGTAGAAATTTACAAAATTGTTGGCGCGACAATGTTAACCTTATGTAGCAAGGTATGTACAAAATATATATATAAACCAACATTAAGAGTTGTACAGAAAAGGGTTGAAGAGACAAAGAGAGCAAAGACCTCAACAAGAGCACGCAGTGACAATAATACAAATGACCGTATACAGAGAGGAAAATTCCACAGACAATAGGGGGAGGAGTTGGTTGGGTTAAGTCCGCTCAAACAGAGCAAAGAGTCCTGTACCGCTGGTGCACACACTTGGAGACGAGAGGAAACCTGTTGTGGCATAGTTCATTGCGATGTAGATGGTTTGTCGTTGTCGGTTGTGTGAGAGTTGCACTGAGGGCAAAGCGCTGCTGTTGATGTGAGAAACTTTTTGAGAGTATTGTAGATATCCTTGTTTTCAAGCAGAGTTTCAGGAGAACAAGGCCAGTTGAAGCCTGTGTACAGAACACATCCGATGAGATTGTCTCTTTGGTGATCGAAGAGGCTGCAGTCCAAGAGATAATGATTACTGTCTTCTATTGTAGTATCATCGCAGTGACAGACACCAGATTCTCTTAAGCGGAAATGATTGAGGTATGCGTTGAAGTTGCCATGACCCGTAAGTAACTGGGTCATGTCAAAGGAAAGCGTGAAGTGCTTCCACTCTAGATGACGTGAGATATTGGGGATGTAGTTGTGGGTCACCTGTCCAGTGTCCCCGCAGTCCCATTCACTTTGCCATTCTTGAAGGGGAAGATGACGGTTCCATTGTTTGATTTTTGAGAGTGGGATTCTGTTGTAGGTGGAAGGGAGCGAAGACGTAGCAGCAGCTTCGCCAGATGGTCGGCAGCCTCGTTCCCAGCGAACCCAGAGTGCCTATGCACCCAATTGAAGGAAACGTAGTGCTTGTGCTTATTGATGGAGAGCAAATGATGGATATGCAGAACATTGGCAGCTCTTTGTTTAAGGTTCATGATAGAATGGATTGCTGTGATTGCTGTCAGAGTAGATGGTGATGGTTTTATTTGGAGGGAACCAGTCTGCATATACATGATCAAGGGCTTTGACAATGGCAAGAATCTCGGCTTGTGGAACCGAGCAATGGGGCCCTAGTTTGTAGGCTGACCGATGAATGTTACCATTATGGTGGTCATATAGAACAAAAACCGCCCCCACGTTGATGTCGTCCTTGCTTTTTCCGTCCGTGTAGATGGAGAAGTCAGATTCATTGGATGTCTGGGAGTCACTGTTTATGATCGGGTAGTCTTGGAGAATATTAAGTTGAATGTCTTTCATTTCAATTCCAAAAGATAGAATGTCTTCTTTTATGTGGGTAGGAAGGTCAGAAAGAATACTTTTATTTTTATCATTGTTGAGAGGGTGGCAGTTACTGAAGAGGTTGTTGGTATTCCAGTTTCTGAGAATCATTCTGGCTTTAATGTGAACTGGGGTGATTCCAGCAATCACCAGCAGGGCAGCAGTGGGAGCAGTCCGGTAGGCTCTACAAATACGGAGAGCAGCCACTCTTTGGGTTTTAAGGAGATTGCGTTGTATATGAACTTTGGTGGTGGCATCGGCCCAGATGGGGGATGTGTAAAGAAGGATAGGTTCTATAGCCCCTAGGTAGATATTCTTGGCTGCATTATAGCCTATGCCCCAGGTATTACGAGCAATGCTGATAAGTGCGTTCGATGCCTTAGTTGCTTTGGCAACCACCATATCCACGTGGCTGGTCCACTGTAGCTGTTGATCAAGTTTCACGCCAAGGTAAGTTAGTTTTTTTACCCGAGAGATGCGGACACTGTCAATTACGATGCGAGGGGTCCTCTGAAGTGGGGTATTCTTTGGAAAGATGATGAATGAGCACTTCGAGTAGTTAATAGGAAGCTTACTGCTTGAACTCCAGTTTGAGATCTTGGCTAGTAGGTCATTGATCAGGATTGGGAGTCTATCGCTGTTTTTATCTGAGACCACAGCCACGGTGTCATCAGCATAGCCTTGTAAGAAGTAGTTATTAGTCGTGTTGTTGTTTATGCTTGCAAGGAGATCACTGTGGACAATTGTCCAAAGGCCGGGCCCGGCGATAGAACCCTGTGGGCAACCCTTTGTAACCTCATGGATGTAGCTGATGTTATTGTGAAAGAACCCTGCTTTCCTTTCACTGATGAAACTCCTTATGAGGCAGAAAAGATTCCTTGGGCAGTGATGAATTTGGAGTTGCCGAAGAATAGCCGGCCACCAGAGGTTATCGAACGCCCTACGGAAGTCGATGGAAACAAGTAGCATATGCCTGCCGTCCTTTTTGGCACGTTTGATGTGATCAGTAATTGCAGATAAGGCTGTAATCATTGATTTCCCTGGTGTGAAGCCGTGTTGGTGGGGACTGAGGGCATTTTTCCTCCTCAGGAAGTTGAGAATCCTGGTAAAGAGAAGCCTATCCAGTACCTTACCCATGATTGGCAACAGGCTTATTAGCCTGTAGTCTTTGGCATAGTGCGGAGCGTCATTAGGCCGCTTGTTAATAAATTTTATGGAAGCTATTTTCCAGTCTCTGGGGAAGTATCCCAAGGCCAGGCAACGATTGCAAAGAGTGGTGAAGGTAGTAGGAATGGCAGAGAAGGCTTCGTTGACCATCCTGCCGGTGACATGGTCTATCCCAGGCGCCTTTTTGATATTTATGAGGCTGATGGCGTGGTTGATGTCCCTGTAAGTAAAGAGGGAGTCGTCTGTCTAATTGGACGGCTGGGATGAGTTATTACGAGTCTCCCGATGAGTATCCGAGTCTTCTGCAGGGTTGTCCAGTGGGAAATGGTATTCAATTAGCTGTTTGAGAGTATTATCCAGAGAGCTAGTGTATTCATCCTCTGATATTTTGACAGGCGAAGGAATGTCTACCTTCTGCCTCTTTTTGAAGGCGATGTAATACGGTTCACACCAGGGGTCGTTGAATCGGTTACAGAATTGCCTCCAGGCATAGTGACGCTTTTTTTAATTAAGGATTTATATTCATTGAATTTTGATATATAATTGGCTCTTTGCATGGCCCTGGTCTGGGTATTATTCTGATGCTGATAGAGTCTACGTAAACTACAGACTACTTTGTGGAGATTGGCCAGTTCTCTGTCCCACCAAGGAGCGTTCGTCCTCAAGTTATTTTTCTTTTTGCTGGTGAAATGATAGCTTTTTATGAGTAGATTTGTGAGATTCTCAATGCAGTTTTCTATGTCCTTCTTGTCCATGCTGGTAATAGGTAGAATAGGGTTCCATTCGTTTTGGATCAGCTGCCAGTAAGCAGGCCAGTTGGTATGATGGTAGAAGGCAGTAGAGTGGATGGAATTTGTATTTGCTTGGATCACAATCTTGATATACCGGTGATCAATTGCACTTGGCTCTATCATAGTGGAGCAATAAGAGACCCTATGAGCCATATGGATGTTAGCGAGGGTAACACCTACCCAGCTGTCACCCCTCGAAGAGTGGTAAGTTGAAAGGGGGCTGGAGTTGCAAGAAGTGAGATAGAGAGCAGCAACAAACTTCTGCATGCGAAAGCCCCTACAATCCTCAATAGGGCTGTGCCAGAGGTAGGACTTTGCGTTAGTATCGCCACAAATCAGCCAGGGCTTGTCGGCGACTATCCTACTGATTGTGTCAAGATCTTCGAGCATAGAGTTGATGTCCTCAAATGGCGAGCAGTAGATTGAGGAAACAATGAAGTTGTCATTGGAGGAATTGACCGTGCAAGGGGTGACATATTTTGTTGAAAGGTGAGGCATGTACTGGACCAAAAAATGCGGGTTTCTCACTAAGATGGCAGTTTTGCTGTTTTGCATCATGCCCTTGAGAGAAAAAGTCCTCCATCTGCCAAAACTTGTAAGCTCCTCTTTGAATAGGTACGGTTCTTGGATCAGAATCAGGTCAGAGCTCCAGTCCTCAGCAGTTTTGATTAATAAAAAAGAAGGGGCCTTTCCTCTTTGCAGGTTGATCTGCAATAAATTAAGCGACCCCCTATACTGATTGATGATGATATTTGAAGTTAGATTGGAGTCTTGAGTGGTGCTGGTTGAATCCTGGGTAAGTGAGTTCCTCGTGGTATTCGTAAGGTGTTTATAATCCATAATTGGTCTGCCTGATTGTCTGAGCTTTCATTTTTAATGTTATGGGGCATTGAGGATTAAAGGCATTGTGGTCCGTAGCGTATCTGTTGTTCGTTGGAATGTCTTTATTTGCCGTTCTGCAGTTAATACAGGAGGGCGTTTGGTCGAGTTTCTGACAGCTTCCGTAACTATGTCCCTTTGAACAGTGGCTACATCTTTGCCTGCGGGCAGATGGTAGAGATGTGGTTATACCCACAACACTGGTAGCACCGTACCAGTGGGATGTAGTCATTGACAAGGATGTTCGCCCATTGGATGGCCACATACTTCGTTCTTACCAATACATCTCTTATTTTGGGTGACGTGGACAAAACGATATGTCTACAATTTTCCCTGGCATTGTTACGGTACAAAATAGTGCTTATACGTGTAGAATCCATAAATTCGTCTTTAGAGACTGTATGAAGAGCCTCATTTTGGTCATAAGTTATTGCGGTGATTTCTGACTCGTCAACTGTGATGGGGACATTGTTTAGGATAACCCTTGGGCGCCTCCCTTCCGAGATCTTGCTCTTTATTTTATCCGAAATCTCTGGAAGATTCTGAATTGCTTCCTCCAGAATTTGCGCCTCCTTATGGGTGTCGGTTCTTATACAGATGCCGTCACCTCTTACTTTTCTAACCGCTTTGACCTTAACCTTTAGGTTTTGTGGCTTTATTTTTCTTTTAATT